TAAAGACCTAAAAAACACAAAAGCTTCCCAGAATATATTATCTGAGAGTGAAGAAAATTCCGAGTCTGACTAAATGCTGTAAGCTAATTTTATAAGAATATTAATAAATTATTTATTTATTTATTTATTGATTTATTCACAGTAATAGAAGATTCTACTACGGAACACCGACTCCAGCACCAATAATATGCCTAGTCACACGTTATTATCAAATACTTTATTAAAAAGGTTGAATGTTAATTATAAAAGAAGTATTAGGTAAAGTATCCTATCTTCCGACTATTTTAACGCGAATTTTAGCAGAAATGTATAAATTATTGTTACCAGCAATACTTATTAATAAAAGGATTTTTAAATTGATTATATTTGTGTTTTGTAAATATCTAACTTTTATTAATTTATTTAACATAACTTTTAAAAAATATTTAAAAATACTCAAAATTATAAACTGAAAACCACTATAATATTCTTATGATGTATCTTTGATTATCACACCGTTACGCCTCGCTATAGTAACAATATAGGTACTTTCTGCTGCTTTAAACGAAAAACCACTTACGAGGCTCAAAAATACATACGGACGACTGTACCATCTAGATACAACAGCGTGCCAAGAGAATTTCAACCATCCCCGCATCTCCGCGTCAGAGAGCGGTCGTCAGGACAAGCTCTTACATTTTACAGTTTTTTGACGAAACCATTTATTAGATTTTTAATTTCTAAAAAGTATTTTAATCCTTGATCTTTGCTCTACAACGTTTATTAAAAGTGTTTTTTGATTAGAATTTTCATTTTTGAGTTTTCACGGTGTAAATGATATTGCAATTTTGATGTTTCAGCGCGAGCCATTTAATATTAAGGAACTCCATATAAGAGCGTGTTGGGCAGGTAATTTAAAATTAAAAATAAAATACTTTCTCTTGGAATTTTGAAACAAAACTTTTGCAGATGATTTAAAATGGCGTGTAGATGTAAATTAAGCAAAAAAAAATTTTTGATATTTTTTGGAAAACCACCCCTAACTACCCCCTGCACACTACGATTTTTTGACGACCAGGCGATTTTGCGTTCTTATGGTGTAAGGAATGATATAAAATAGGTAATACATTTTAGCAATGAAGTGCAAACGGAATGACACGATAGAATCATTTTTAAACTCTACTATAAGCTTGAGGTAAGGAATTGTACAATTTAATGCTGATATATCTATAAGAATCATGAAGTTTGGTTAATCTGTAATTAGGTAAAGATATATAATAATTTCCTATGGTGCAATAAGAATGTTTAGAGCTCTATCTTATAACATTATTATTACCAATTTGTTTTTTCATGTATAAAAGACACTCTAAAATAAAACAACAGGGTATTGCTAAAATGCTGAACTGTTTAAAAATAGGTTGGCAGTGACTATTGTAGCTACTCGATGTCATGATACATAGTACTTTTTTTTGTGCAATAAATACCCTAAGTTGGTTGCTTGTATTTCCCCAAAGTATAACCCCATACGTCATAATGCTATGAAATAATGAAAAGTAGACCATTTTTAAATGTACAATGTCTAATTGAAATTTTAGCTGTCTAACTGCATAAGTAGCTTTTGCTAAATCACTTAGTAAACTTTGAATGTGATTTAAAATCTAGTTTTGGGTCTAAATATATTCCTAAAAGTTTAACCTGTTCCTCACTTTTAGCAATGATAGAAAATTATATTTGCTGAATTTTTGCTTCGTTTAATGTAAGACCATTGCTACCAAACCAATTATTTGACATAACTTCTGCTTCATTTAGCCTTTCTATTGTATCAGAATTATTTTTATCTGTAGCAACATATGTTGAATCATCAGCATAATACACCTGTATGATATTACTTAGATTTATTGAGAAATCATTAAAGTAAATGATAAAAAAGTAAGGGTCCGAAAACAGAACCCTGTGGAACTCCATACAGTACTGAATTATTGCCCGAAGTATGCCCATCAATTTGAACATATTGAGTTCTTTTTTGCAAATAGGAGGTAATAAGCTGTAATGGTGTCCCTCTAACTACATATCTCTCTAATTTTTATAATAAAATGTCATGTTGAACCGTATCGAACGCTCTCGTAAGATCATAAAATCTGGCAGTACTATGTGAACGATCCTCAAAACCATCCGTAACAGCCTCATAGAGATCACATATTGCGTTAATTGTTGATTTGTTTGACCTGTAACCGAATTGATTTTGGCTTAGCAACTTGTTGCTTTCAAAAAAATTCATAATTCGTTGTTTTAACACTATTTCAAAAATTTTGCTTTCTATTGGTATAATTGAGATAGGTCTATAAGCAGATGGTAGATTCATGTCCCCTTTTTTGAAAACAGGGGTAACTCGTGATACTTTAAATGATCTGGAAAAACTCCAGATTTAATTCAAAAATTAATTAGGTTAGCAATGGGAGTGTCTAAAATATCAACAACTGATTTCAACAAAACTGCACTCAATCCAGAAATATCCCTAGCTTTAGAATATTTGATAATTTGAATCCTTTGGCAATTATTTTGATTGATATTCAAAGAAATAAAAAAAGTTATGTCATATGCTCAGAAAATAATCTAAAGCAAGATATATGCAGTGGTGTGAAATAGCTAAACAATAAGAATTGGCCAGGATTAAATATAATCAGTATTCATATCACGAAGTTTTTTTAATAAAGTACTTACTACTGCAAAACTGTATAAGATTTTTTATGAGGTTTTAATTTAACTAAAATAGGTAAACCTACTAAATCTACAAAAATAGAATTATATTTAGAAGTGATAACTAAGATGTACTGTATATAAAAATCAGAAAGTATTTTTTAATTAGAATGTCTTCTCACTCATTCATTCAAGAGAGTTAGTGGAATTATTTCTACATTTAAGTAGGGGTAGAACGGGATTTGGTTAGTTAAAAAGAGCTATGATTATAATACGAGCAAATCTGAATTCGTTTCAAGACTTTCTACAACATTTTAGGTATAACAAGTTTTTGGTTAAATGCGTTTCTGTAATTCTTAGTTGTTTATATAGCTCTGTCACACCCTGTATTACTTATATAAATTATCTAGTATGAAATGAAACAAAAAAAATGGTTAAAAGTCATATTCTAACTATGGTAATACATCAAGAATGCACCATATTTCGGTAAAAGTTATTTATAATTTATTGAACATGCTGTATGATTTATTTTGCATGAACACACTATATACATGTGTAACAACACATGATATAAGTTTCATGAAAAAAACTAGAATTACTTAAGAGTGGTGGAGATATATATGGAGATATATATAATCAATGTAAAAAGTGAGGGGTCCTTTATCGAAGTAGTTTAGATTTTTATGATCAATCTCTCAAGTTTCTAATCGTATCATCTACAGAGATATATAGTACGTTAACACATGGCTCCTTCAAAATAAAAATGAGAAGCCTAATTATATTTGCACTTGAGGGAAATACAGAGAGTCTCTCGTAAATCAGCTGCCTGTCTGCTGTGATTAGACAGATGGATACACCTCTACCACTAGTGCGCACTGTTCTACCCCTGTAAACAATAGCATCGCTTATTCTATATCATCCTTCTGGTGTCATTGTGAGAAAGTTAACAAACTGTATACCTACCTAGGTATTTACCTGATCGAAGGAGTGCTGATATTGAGTAGAATCCGATTACAATAAGAAGAACACCGCTATGTCATAACCATTAATTCGAATTTCAAATATGTATTATCTAAGTATAACTATCAATAAATAAAGAATAAGTAAATTGTTAGGTGTAAAAAATATTCCATTAAACCCCTAGTAGGCAGCGATAGCCAATTAATTACTTTAACCAAATGATGACATGGCTGTGTTCTTATTGTAATCGGACCCTACCAGAAAATATGCTTGAATCAAGTCATTATGTTCTTCATTGTGCTTTATTATAACTGAAATTTTAATGGGAACTGCATCTTTGAACATAATTTAGATATATTTTAGAAAATTTGAACCCAATATTGATCATAACTAGTCAGGATGTAAACACTCTTCAAATATATATTTTAGTAGATTTGATCAGTCACTGAAAGGGGTTTATTAAATTTAACACAATCCTGTGTGCCTAATCTATTAAGAGTGTACTCAATGGACTATACTTAAAATGGTTAAATATATCGATAGTTCTAATTCACTTAATCTTGAAAATGAATATTAAAACATATAATTAGGTAATACCAACAAAAATTGGTTAAAATTTCCTTCTTAATATTCCTAGTTCCAAGATTTTTTATAGGTAAGTCAGTAAACCACTATTATAATAGCAAAACAATATTAAATTATAAGAGTGATATACCTAGTGTTACTTTCACAATCATGCCCGCTTTAAAAAAAGCGTGAATAGTAAAGGTGCAGTTAAGGAAATGGCGATTTTTCAATTTTTTGTGAGATACCTAAGTAGGTACCATAAACCTACAAGATCTAAAAATAAATAGGTAGAAAACTTAGGGCACAAAACTAATTCTTCAACCACGTTGAACACAGTTAATAAGATTATCTCTTTTTTCTCAAATACCCCTTTATTTGATAGATAAACGGATAACATACCTACATACCTATGTGCCTTATGCTGATTAATTTAAAGATATGTATTATGTCTTCAATCTGTCATTAACAAACACAAAAATTGAATTGTAACAATCGTAATAGGTATAGGTACCTATTTTGTTTTGGCTACCAGATGAGAATAATCAAATATTATGTCAAAAAATTTCAATTATTTAGGTTAGACACCTACCTAATAAGTAAACAAAAACATCAGTCAAAAAATTGTAATTTTCGAAATGATGATCCTAAATAGGCCAATATCCTTGAAATATTTAACAAATTAGATGTAAGAATACTAAAAAATGCTGTAGGTATTTCCAAACTGCAAACTTTAATAACTATCTTTGTACAAACTTGCATGGTAAAAGGTTATCGGATAAAGAAAACGGTTTACTTACTGTCTGCGTCGTTCTACTGTTAAAAACCAGTCAAGAATATTTCCATTTTCGAAAAATTTTCACCACAAAATCACACGAATCACTGCACTCAAAATAAACGACACTTAGTACAATCCATTTCTAAATTTACAACTCTTTCTATCTCACTTAAACTGGTGTGGTGTGAACAGTAAGAATTGAAGATGGCGACTGACTATTTTCAAAACCGTTTACAATGTTGCCGATTCTGAACTTTAAGAAAGTCAGAATGTACAAAATAATTCCATTTTTTTTTGTTGAAATTGGTTAAACTTTTATTCTTCAAATTATTTATAAAATATGTTTCGTGAAAAAAATTTAAATCTGAAAAATAATAATTTATTTTTAATTAGTTGGTTACCTATCTATAACAAAAAAAGATTTAATTCATATTAAAAAAAATCGTGATATTTATATCTTGATCAATAATTAATAATATGAAACCAATGTACCTACATATACATTTATCTTTTAAATTAAATTATTGTTCGGTAACGTCAAGAAAGATTTTTGAAATAATTTTATTTAGGTACCAGGGCCGACAAGACGGGGGAGGGTAGCCGGGACTAATTCCCGGGCCCCGGGCTCAATGTGGCCCGGCAGCGGCATAAGGGGGGCCCGGCAACTTCTTGAGCAGTTCGGCAGAGGAGAAGTTTTAGCTTGAAGACCTTTTTTTTAGAGAAATTCAAGTAAAGAAGAGGAGAAGTTTTTGCTTGAAGACCTTTTTTAGAGAGATTCAGTAAAGAGGAGGAGAAGGTTTTGCTGCAAGACCTTCTTTTTTAGAAATGTGATATTAAAAAGGGCCTAATTTTTTATAATATTGTCGCGGGGCCCGACCTGGAGAATTGTCCCGGGGCCTGACCTGGCTCTCAGCGGACCTGGTAGGTACCTATAATTGAGTACCTACATAATAAACACTAATTTAATGCCAAGAATGTGTGAAGCATCCTGAAAGAGATGCCATATATGCAATTGCAATAGGTAGGGACCGATTACAATAAGATGAACACTACGTACTACGTCATCAATTGGCGGAGTAATTTGTTGGCTATCGACGTCTACTGGAGGTTTAATGGCGTGTTAATATTATAAAAATGTAGGACTAATATTTTTAAAGCAAACAACTCACATATTCTTTATTTATTGATAGTTATAGACAGGGCCGCCGAGAGTCAGGCGGGACCCCGGGACAATTATCCAGGTGGGGCCTCTCGACAATTTTATAAAAAAAATTAATCCCTTTTCAATATCACATTTCGAAAAAAAAAGTCCTCATAAACCAGCGCTCCTCCCTTTTTTGGCGAACTTCTAAAACAATAAAACATCCTCACCTAAAGTTGCCGGGCCCTCACTTGTGCCCGGGCTACCCCTCCTCTCGTCGGCCCTGGTTATAGATGATATAAATTTGAAATAATAGTTAGAACAGAAGTAAAAGTTGGAAAGGCTTCTGCCAGTTCTCCCACTTTATACACATAAATTGACATGTTTGCTGCGGATCTCGCCGAAGTGGACGCGGTGCATTGGTGTACAAAATTATTTTATAGATGTTAATAATATTAGATGTTATTTTTTAGAGGTTAATAACAATTTCGAGTAAATAGTTTAATAAATTGTGAATAGCTGTTGAAATTTTGTAAAATTATGATTTGAATATTATAATACATGTTTAATAATTATAGTCCATAAATACATGCGATTGTCCGGTTCCGCCGATAACAATTTAAAATTACTTATTCTATAAAACGACACTGGCAGGATAAACATTACTGCGAAATTCTCGAAGCCGTCCGACGTCAGACGTGGTTTGACGTTTACCCCCTCTCTACCTACCAAAAGCCTTTCCAACTTTTACTTTCCCTATATCGTAATCGGACTTTATATGCCCACTATGAAAAACTCCTTGTCCCGTATTACCTCCAAAAGTTTTGTCCAAACTTTGGCGCAATGACAGCATTCTTCACATATTTAATTACTGTCTATTATGTCGGTATGCTATTTCTGTGTATAACACATACTTTAATAAGAATATGTATTAATAAATAAATTTGGAATTTTTAGAAATAAACCAGTTAGTAGATAACCTGATCGATTTGGCAACATCACAATCAGTGATAGACTAAGACAAAGATCTTCTATCAAGTATAGTAAGTTTTGTAGGGTTGCGTAGTTTCATTCTAGTTTGCTTTAGAATAATTATAAATTACACAGAAAGATGATTGCATATTTTCTGCTGTACTAAATGAATATCATTTAAAATAATTTGTTTTTGTAGCTATTATTAGTAGGTAATACCTAGTTGTATTTTTTGTTTTATTTTGTAGGTACCTATAGTGCTTTAACGAGAAAATAAATACCTACTAACTTCGTGTTCTTCCTAAATAGTAGTCTTTGTTAGTATTTTCCTGCACTAGTTCATATCTACCTACCTACCTACTTATTTCACCCAACTTAGAATTATCCTGAAAATATAGGTAGGTATATAATTTTTAAATATTTCAGATTTCGATAATTATATTGATTTATTGATGTTATATTTTTACTTTTTCATTATATTACTAATAATTAATAAAATCACTTGGATTCCAAAGGTTAAAAAGAAAGAAAACTCGAAAGAAATTAAATCGGCGTAACCCTAGAAATACTTAAATACTTACTGAAGCATCTCACTTCGAAGTACATTGACGCGACATCTATTGCTTAGTAGCCTAACTTAAAAAAGAAGGAACTAGAATCCGTATCGGCAAGTTCTTCAACATGATTCATTTAATATTCTTACGCATGTATGCACAGATGTCTCTAATAACTAAAGCCATTATTTATTCATATACGGGGTCCTTCCAATAATTTTAAAAAAATATTTTTTGAGAAGAACTTAAAATTAGGGTGACTTGGTGACCATACGTACAGCCTTTCGCTGTATTGTACAGCATTTTCAATGATTGTCCAGCATTGGATCTTGTACAGCAAACATACAACAAAACGCTGTATTTTATTATCTGCCGTCAAGAATTGGCATACATAATTTACTGAAATGTACCTAACTTCTAACAAATAAACAAAAACGTATTGTCAAGCTAAAAAAATGGCCCTCTACATGTTCTATTAAAAAAAAAGTCATCTGGTTCTCTATCTTTGGGGAGCTAAAAAAAAAAGATCCTCACCTCTCCAAAATGATAAATATTAATATTTCATGTTCAACGTCCAGTATTGGGTCAAAAGAGATATGGTCACCCTACCTAACATGCTAGAATGAAGGCAATGCAAATATTACATTTGAAAGTATCCATGATAATTTAAAATTATTACATCAATCACGTTTAATAATCGATAATCATACTTACTTAGTATATTTGAATGGTGTTATACTACAAAGAATCAATCCCCAGTACCCCAAGAGATGTGTTATTTTTGGTTAACCTCTATTCCTGTTTTATAACATACATTTTTCAAATATTTTCTCCAGTCAACTTCTTTATATCTTGATTCTTTACAACATAAAACCATGCATTTAATTTTTCAAACTCGTCATACTCTGTCATTGCTTTTGTACTGTAGTTGAGTTCGGGAGGTGAACTCCTTTCACTCTTTTCACTCCATAACTAACTTCAGTCCTTAGACTAGATACCTAGTCTAAGCTTCAGTCCATGCTAAATCATTGTAATGAAGTGAAAAGAGTAAAAGGAGTCCACATCCCGAACTCGCATGTAACTGTAAATTAATTAGCTGTCGGGCTAGTAAAATAATTTTTTGACACTTATATGTATTAGCCTTTGCGATTATCGACAGTTCCCCCCGACAACACAAATAGTCCAATGGACGTGTCCACTTTAGATCCATTTGAGGGTCAGAACCAAGGATACTTAACTTCTCTATTAGGATTGACCAATCCCATATTGCATGTACGTTTCACTGTGTTACGTCATTGCCGGAATAGATATTTGTAAATTCCTGTGTTGTTTATACTGTTGTGAGAACGCCGTTGCAAGCCGCTTCGCCTCTGTTTCGAGAAGCTACCACAAAAAGCGTTACACGGCCGTTGTGTCATAGAGTGGGAATTCCCGGACGTTCTGGATCGCCCAGAGTGTTCTAGTACACAGCTGGCAATATATAAATAGCGCGAGTTTGTCGATGGAAGTTAAGTTTCAATTTAAGTGTAAAATTGTAAAATTTCCAGACATTTAGAGGTTAATGAAGGCATTACAATTGAAAGCGAAAACCAGTGTCGTTGAAAGGGTTAACGGGGAGCAAAAATGGTCAATCGTGTGCCATTTGTACAATTCACTAGACGTCCATTGGATGTCGAAAGTCAAGAAAAACTATTTTTGGACGTCCAGACATCCAAATTGTATATCGAAGGATGTCCAATGGACCTCTTTGTGCTGTTTGGCCCATATTTTAAAAAGAAGAAAGCGGAACAAATCGAAAACGGAGATTTTTCAACGAATTCTATTTGCAGTAGTGACGGTTTGGTTCATTAAAGAGCAAAAAAAAGGAAATATTTAATAGAGTGCGTTGTCGAGTCACCATAAAAATTGTATTTTTAGGGGGATTAAATTAAATATTTATATTTTTTTAATCGGACAAAAGCGGGACTAGTGGTTTTAAATCAGGACTGTCCCGCCTAAATTGGGGCGAATGTAACTTTACCGACACCACTGGTTCAACCTATTTTTGATGGGTGGTGAAGTTTTCCTCATCTCTTAGTCAAAGGGCACCATCAATCATCTGAAAGTCACCACAACTACCACAAAAAATATTAATAACAGTAATAGCCTTATCTTCCCCGCACGTGCTCAGTCGGCGTCTGGGGTTAAAATTCACTCTTAATGGAGTAAATTATAGACAGAGTATCATTATTTAATTATTATACATGATAATTAACCTATCAATACATACGAGGCCGAAACAAATGTATCACCTTGTTTCCTTTCTCTTCTATCATTTTAGGAATAAGGAAATACGAATAGTAAATATTTGAGATTGAGAGTAAATAAAGAAACATGTTTTATAGCACAATTGTTTTATTCTGTTAACATCTACTTACGAACAAGTACGGTTTTTTTACATCCACTTAATATATTTTACACTAATTTTACGTCACATTATATATATAATATATCTATTCTGACAAATTTCATACCGCTACAAACACTAAAAGGGAAGGG